CGCTAATCAAAGTGTAATCAGTGAGGACAAAGCTACGACTCCAACTGGATGTACTTGATTCTGCATCCATAATTAAATTAGCATTATTAGGCGTCACCAACAATTTTTTTTGTTTTGAGGCTGATGGATTTTCTAAAACATTCAATAGCCCCCTCTAGTGGTGAACCTTCATAATGATGTAACAAGTCTTTCAATATAATAGAACAACGTATTTAAATTGTCATTTATCAATTATATTAACTGCAACACGAATTCCCAAAAATTTGAATTTACTGCACATAAGTGCAATGCATTATGGGTGAGAATGTCTCATTTATATAATTGAAAACTATTACTATACTGGAAACTCACTAAAAACGGGAATTTGTTGTATTGTTTCAACAATATTAAGATTCATATCAATAAACATGATTTTTTTATTGTATCTTCATGATGTGAAGAAACAAATTAAATTTAAAAATGAAAATTTTAACATTTTCCCATGACATTTCAGACCAATCAAAGACTACAATTTTTTGTCATGAAAAAGATGACATATAATATTTAAATTAGTTTAAACCTTAACAGGACATATGTGTATACTAACCGCTTTATCAAATGAGTTCCTCTCGAAGGCGTCATGGTAACCAAAACCATTAAGATTCCCATTCCATCCACTGATGGCTGATTCATCAACCGGTTTGTCATAGAGAGAAAACCTGTTTGGTCTGCAAAAAAGAGAAAATATGATTTCACAAAACTAACACCATCATTTTATATTCATTGACAGAAATGATGTATTTTCAAAACTTGTCAACTCAAAAAGAGAGTTGAATTTCGTCACTGCCATGACGACAACAATTTTGTACAAACATTAGTAATTAATTAATTCTTGTGATGCTGATGAACGTCCTCATATTTTCTTGATTCAAGGGTTGATTAGTGGAAGAGTTATGTGCATATGTGTAATATATATATAATATTTCATTGTAGCTACATGTATATACTCTGTCACGTTTGTCACATGATTTCAGACAAATCTATCACTGTATATGCACGTCACCTTATAACTGGAGCCATCTTATTGCCGTAACTATGGCGATTTTTATTGATATTTGCATGTATGTGGTGTCCACTCTGCGTCTCAGGGTTGCTCAGCTGTCGTAATGGAATTTTACTTGGTGATGATGAATCAAAACCGTTCATCATGCTTGAATCGGTACCATTGCTCTGCATACTGTTATAGTACTCGGTGTCGCTGCTTGACGTAAGTTGTTTCAGTTCACTGCCAACAAGAGAAGAGATGACACAAAATAAACACTAGGATAGTTATTTAAACTTAGATCTTTATGTACAAATGTTGCCGAGCACATGTTATAATTTCATGTAATTTACAAGCACTACACTTCCACTTTTGTCACCTAATTTTTTTGAAATGAAATATTGTGCCAAAAATTAAATTCTCACATGTACGAACGGTAAGTCTAAAATTTTGTTTCTAAAAAGTAACTGAAACTTGACATATGTTAAGTTGTTCGTGTATACAGACATGCATTTGATCAGCATGCATTAGTTGATTTCAACGAGCATTGTGTCGTATATAAAACTACGCAGGAGAGAAATCAACATGGAATGCACCTCTGATCTAGAGGGCAATTGATATAAAAGTCAAATAAATACCGACACATTATAAGTACGCATGCAATTATAAAACACATTTACACGTACAAAAACAGATTTTTTTGTGTGAGTTAACAATCCAGATGTAAAATTCATAATGATATAGTTGTATACCCACTCAGTGGTTCCTGGAATGACTTCCCAGACACAGTGAACATCCTTTAAATCCAACCAATCAGAAGGTGGTGCTCATCACATTTCGGGGTGTTTTTTGTAAAACCGTGCATAATTTGTTTGACACCAAGCATGCGGATGTGGTAAAAGTACTCCCATATTTTCCCAACCAAAAACATTTATTTCATGTGCAACATTTTCTTATAAATAATTTCTCAAAAAAAAAAAGTTATTTTGTATCAATACAGTTTGAAACATAAGTTTAAACAAATTACAAAACAATTTTATTTTTAGTAAACTTTGGCAGGAAACAAGTTATAATTGTTAAAACTGAATTCATGCAGTATAGTGTGAATGAAGAGTAACCATGTCACATGCAAATATATAATATTCAAAAATAAAATTTGCATGCTACACTTAAAAGCCAATCAGAAGTAGATATAAATTATGTATGCAAAAAAGTTTGGCAAAATTCCAAAACTCAAACAACCAATCAGAGTGAAGACTCATTAATTATACATGCCAGAGCCAATCCCAGAACAAAGATCCCAGTTCAAAAGACAGAAAATAAAATCAGTTATATTTAAATTGGATGAAAATGATACTTTTATAGGCACAACGTGGTGGAGCTTGAGGAAAAATAACAAACAAAACATTACATGAATGGATGATATGATTATGTGAGGAATGGGATATACAAGCAGGGCTGGTAATAATTAATATGCAAATGAGACAATTAATATGCACAAATTGAGCCTTTAAGACATTATGCATACAATATCCACAAACATTGTGGCTATTTTGCATATGGAAGAGTTGTTGATTGATTTTGTGAATTTGTTTTATTTTTTGTCTACCAAAAATCAAGCAACACACATGAATGACTATTTTTAAAGTGTCTGAGACATGTCATACACAAGCCTGTATTTTTAAATGGGCCTTGCCCTAGTTTATGATTTTGTAGCAAATTTAAAACAACAGAATCTAAGCATTCAGCAGAAAAATGATGATTACTTTAAGTTTGGCCCACCCCACTTGTGGATCTTGAGTTTTTTCACCCACTGAAAAGTTTTTACACTGGAAATATGTTGGTTTTTGATTATCTGCAGAAATAAGAGTTTCCTTTCAGAACAGGGCAAAAATGCCACATTAGTTTCACAACTACTGGTAATCAGATGAGATAAAAAGAGCAAGGCGATGGTTGTTCTAGTTTTTCTAGGGATATGTTTTTTTTAATGGGCTACTTTTAGCTTTAGAACGCATATCAAGATTCGCTGTCTTGGTCTCCAAAGTGCATTACTAACAATATTCAGCAAACAGGGGTGAACCACATCTCCAACAAGAAGAAGTCATTAAAAGTGTACTGATCCCTTGAAAAAAATGAAATGCCATGCCTGGGTCATGTCAAACATAAACAACATACCGGTAATACTTGTGTTTCGAAAATTATACTCATAGTTAATAACATGCATTTAAAAATTCTGATTCGTAATAATACTAATTTACAAATGATTCTATTGATTACAAGAGATGTATATTAATATTGGAGTTTTTAAAAATGAAAGAACTTGATTCTGAAATTTCATATTCCACAGTGCCTATGCAGTGGAATGCAAGCTTGTATTCACTAGGAAACATCACAAACTTCTTTTGCAGAGCTTCAACCCTGCTTGAGTTTTCAACTGTTTGTGACCTTAGACATTTTTCTGAGTCAAAAACAATATTCCTTAATAATGTCTAATCAGAAACACTCACAAGTATTATTTGGCCATATTGTTAGCTAGGAAAACATCGTCCATTTCTTAAGCACTTCAATCAGAACTCATTGTGGGATTTTATGAACACAAATATACGTAAACTACCCGGTAACACAACTCTACCAGTGGCATATTATTCTGTTTATTTGACCATCTTCTTAACACTTCGCCAGATTTTATTATTTGATAATTTGACTACCATTTTAGTTAATTCTATTGTCAGAGGCTACACTAATTCTGATTGGGTGAATGTTTTAGACATGCATCCAATCATATCTATGTATTTTACCAAGGTTGAACACGCATCCTCTTGGTAGAATCACGCATAGCTTCATGGGAAATTAATGTTTACATCAAATTCACATTCAATTGAATATATTTCATTGTATATTTTGCGCCAGAAATACCTATTGTCTACTGGAGTTGATTAACATTTTTGAAAAAAATATTTCAACATCTATATTTTGAAAGGTGAAAAGAGTTATGTAATTTAATTCATCTGAGGTAAACAAAATTTGTGCAACTGAAATAAACATATGGAAGAGATCGAATCGTTCTATATAATAACAAAGTGAACAAGAATGTAGCCAATGTTAATTTGTTTTTGATTCTACAAAGGAAAATATATAAAAATGTTGCACTATAATTTGGGCGGGAAAAATTAATGTTCAAATAAACAGCTTGAAAGTAAAAAAAAAATTTCAGAATGATTTGGTATTATCATCATCATATTAATTTTTCTAAAAAAAAAATAAAACAAGCAGCCTGTCGGCTGAGATAGCTCCGCTGTTAGCAATGCACATTTCAATTAAAGAACTGAAGATATCATTAAAAAATGAACAATATGTATAGTATCAAACTTGCTGTAGTATCGGACTTGCTGTTTTCAACAAGAAGTGAAAAACATCACTTTTTACCAAAAATGACAAAAATATTCACCAAAATTTGAGAATTAAAGATATCATCACAAAATGAACAAATCTGAGAAAGGTCCACATGTAGTATACCTATATTTGTAATATCAAAGCAATTGGAGTTACGGTTTTTAACAAGAAGTCGAAAATATCACTTTTTACCAAAAATGACAAAAATATTCACCAAAATTAGAGAATTTAAGATATCATCACGAAATGAACAAATCTGAGAGATCCACATGTAGTACCTATATATGTCATATCAAAGCAATTAGGGTTACGGTTTTTAACAAGAAGTCGAAAATATCACTTTTATTCACCAAAAAATAGAGAATTTGAGATTTTGACATGAAATGAACAAATCTGAGAAAGAACCATCCAAGGTACTTGCATATCAAACTTGAAAACATTCTGACTTGCGGTTTCGAAGAAGAAGTTAAAATTGTGAAGACGGACAACGACGGACAATCAGTAATATGAACAGCTCCGCTGTGTCGACTTTGTTTAATGCTCAAAATGTACAGCACATGAGAGACAGTTATAGAAGGAGGGGTTTGTTGTGATGTCTGTCATAATGCCGTTTTCCTATAGTCTGATTGGTTCTGCAGAGAAGCACACACTGTTCATATTTATAATGGTCAATGACTGCTTAATTACAGGCCTGAATTGTTAAGCTGTAATCCCAGCATAATCTATCAGGTTTTAATCTAGTATAAAGTCATCACATTCCTGAATCAACTAATATGCAAATTTTGATAAACAGTTTCATCAGCAATCAAAAACGCAATTATTTTAATTAATTAGAATATTAATGAGGCCATCTAATATCATTCAGTTTGACCATTTTATGCTTTTATATTTTAGTATCAACTGTCCATTGTCATCTGTCACAACACATTGTCGGCTGATGCTTTTTCCCCAATCATTTCAAATATCCATAGAGGGTTACAGCAGGTATGTAATAATATCATTTAATAAACTGTGTTTTTGATACTTTGAACATTAACTTACCCAGTCATCTTTCCTTTTCTCCGGTACACCTCTGTACCAGAATTAATTGCACCATAATATGCAGCATCCTGTAGAGAGTACGGCACCTTGACCAATCCAGCTCGTTTCATCTGACGAAGTCGCCGGTCTGATAGCTGTACATCGCCGTTTTGCATGTTAATTTGATGTAATGGCATCTCAGCATCTGGGAGGGCTGGAGTGTTGATTTTGTGCAAAGCGTCATGGAACTCTTCACCATGGTTCTTGATCTTTGTAAAGGTTAAAGTTCAAAGGTTACAATACAATTTTCAAATAACAGAGACAGGGTAAATCATAATTTAAAGAATCAAAAGGTTTTTTCCAGGTTTTACGTGCATGGTCTTGGGGACTCCAGTAAAGTGTTGACTGCTACATTATTCCGTGATTTTTACAGATCCACTCATGAAATCCAAAACAGGAGATGACAATCTTTTTTTATGAAATTCAGTTTACATGAAAGCTCTTAAATCATGAAATTTCTTATCATAAAAAACCAAATGGTTACTGTATACGAGTAAAACCAATATTATTTCCAATGAAAACTAAACTTGGTTGTATACTGTAAAATACTTTATTTTAGCTGGAATTAATTTTCACTGAAAAGACTTTCTGGGTGTTTTGTATGGAATTTATTTTCACTGATTTTTGATGAGTTGAATGTAAAATATAGGAAGAAAGGTATAATTGCTGGGTTTTATTTCCACTGAATTATTTCTTCATTCCTTTCGCGAAAATAGCGAAAATTAAATCCAAGCCAAAATAAAGTATTTTACAGTAGTCCTTCATGACATAAGCATACTTGATGTGGAACATTCCATTTTAAGGTAGGGATGGGTTAAACCACTATGAATATAGGGGGTTCTATACCTGCTGTAAGAAGAAAATCAAGCGTGTTTCTTGCTGCGACCTGTATAGCTGTATTTGCTGATACAGCGATCGTTTCTTCCACATTCGGAACCAGCGCTGCAGTAGGATGGACGAGTCCCATTTCTTACTATCATGTCGTGCTTTGATTACTTTGTACTGCTGTCGACATAAGAAACCCCTCACAGCTACGGGTACGGAGAAAAATAATAATGTCAGATACATGACAGACATAAAATGTGATTATCGGCATCATCAGTTTTTTTACTACAAATTAAAAAAGTAAGTTTTCAGAATAAATTTTCCTCAAATATACGAACAAGCACTAAAAACCAATCAAAACATATACCCCCCACTAAAATTGACATAAAAGTTAAAGTTACAATTAAGGTAGAACCCTACTTATAATCTTAGAAAAAGTTGATCACTGACACTGTTTTTTAGTTTATTATGAACAATCGTAGCGCTATAATTCCATAGTAACATGAAATAGCATTCAATTGTGTTACAGTGTTATATTTTGGGAAATTTGCCAAATACCATTAAAATATTTTTCAGAACAGTTCCATAGAACAAAATTTAAAAAAAGCCAAACATCATATGTTGTTAATTTCCAAAATAAATGGCATAACAAAAAATAGAATGTATAATACGTTTATGTATAATACGTTTTATTATGTTAACACGAGAATACCGTACGAAATATGGAGAGATTACGCACATATGCATTCCAGGGGTTTGACTGGTCCCAACACAAAGAAGTTTGCTATTAAAATCTGAAGACAACTTCAATTAGTCATGAATACAATTTATTACTACATAAATAAATTCTAGGTATTGTTATTTATGAGTAGGCTTCTACCTTAACATAAAAATAAGTGTTTTCAGGTAATGGATTAAATGAATGGATTAAAAAACATTGACGGCTGATAAGACTAGAACTACGATATTCGTCTTACAACTAGAAAATGCACAGGTCTGATAAAAACAATAAATATTTTCCGTTTTATATTTTGTCAGAAAAATGATAAATAGCAAAAATATAAAAAAAACAGAAAAATAACACATTAGTACCATATTCAACAATATGCAAATAGCTGATGCCATATATGGCGTTATGCAAATAGCTGATGCCATATATGGCAATATGCAAATAGATTGATGACATATATGGTAATATGCAAATAACTGATATTTGGCATACATGGGGAAAAATGCAGATTGAGGGACTACAAGGTAATATTACCGGTAGTAAGGAAACTAGAAGTAAACTAAAGTAACACAAAGTATGCCTGTCATATTCTCAACCATAGACTAAAATTTTCAACATGGCTGCTAGGCATTGATGTAGCTTTCAGACACTGGGAAAAAAGCAGTGAAGCCCCACTGAAACACGAATGGCTATTTTATTTTACTTTACTGTTCAGTAATATTATGCACTTAAATTGTTAAATATAGACAAAGATATTGTTGTGGGCAGAAATGAACATAATTTCAGTGAGAATATCATCACTAACATTATGTTGTTTGTTCCACGATACCTAGATCCCCTGTGGCCGAGAATATGACAATTGAATGACAGAAACAATGACAGTGTCACTCATAGCATGCTTATTTTTATTACTACATTTTTAACACAAAATATTTTTCACAAGCTTAGCATGCAGCTCACTACCCCTCTGTTCTGATTTGTCTCTGTTACAAAATCCATCTGCAAGTCTACTGACCTCTATGGTGAGTCCATGAATACTTTTGTTTTTCAGTGTAACAGAGAGAATCCACAACAAAAGAATATCACCAGACTAATATACAACAACTATTTCTTCAGCAAATTTTAACCTGACTGCACAAGAAGAAGTTGTTCCTCTTTCACATGCAACGTTTCAAATGATTCCTCCACTTTCCCAATATCCATCTTAAGTGTTCCCTCATCTGGGTTGATGTCCAAAACGGAAGCTTTGATAATGTCTGTCACCATTTTCGCAGCCTCTAAAGGTGACTCTGGGTATCTCTGTTCCAGGAAATTTTCTTTTGTCTGTGTCTCATCGTCATTAATTTCGCTTTCCACTTTCTTCAGCACTGCAGTATTCTCATTTGCTTCATCTTGTTTTCTTTCAAACTGGTTTTCATTTTCCAGATCTGAACTTTTTGTCTCTCGTCGATTGATTTCTGCGGTGACATTTACAATATTTTTGGAAGGAGGAGTGACGGCAATATCTGAATTCGGATTGGTTCTTGCATCATGCTGACAATCATCAGTTATTTCTCCATCACTGGATGCTTTTCTTTCTACGTTGTTGATTTCACTCAACTGTCTTATGATCAGATCATCAGCTTTTGGAGTAACAACACTTTTCATTACATTCTCTTTATTACTTCCATGCCCTTTAAAAATCCCTTCAAAATAACTTTCTAATTCATGCACTAAATTTCGCCGCATAGTTTTAGCTCCAGGTTTACCATTCTCGCTAAATCTACGATTTCTGAAACTAAATTTTCGATTTTTAATTCCTGATCCATTTCGTGTAACCACAGCCGGATGATTTTCATGAAAACTAAGTTTTTTATTTCTAGTGGCAGATTCATCACATGATTTTAGTAATTGTTCTCTGAAACTAAGTTTTGGATTTCTAGCCACAGATTCATTCCTTAAATTTAAACTGGGGCGAATACAGGAGCGCAGATTGTCGTCTGTTTTCTTATAACCAATTAGCTCAACTTTGTCGGAAAATGCTATGATCTTTCTTTTCTTTTTCTCTTTTGAAAGTTTTCTCTCAGTGACAATTCCGGCTTCTGTGCTTGTTGATGGTGTGTGAGGAATTACATTTTAAATAAACGGGAATATAAGCAATGATATTAAAAAAAGGGACAAGTGGAAAAAAGAAGAGAAAAAAATTTGCATGACATTAACAAAACTATTTTGGTTGCAATTAATACCTTTTCAAAAAAAAGCATGCAGTCAAAATAACGGTATGCCATTTTCATTGTCATGTGATAGCAAATGTAAAAACTTATAATAAAATCTGTTTTTTTGCCCGGAAGGTACTTTTTTTAAATATTTTCTTGAAACTTTAATATGTTGATAGTTCACAATTTGCATCCAAATTAACAGTGAATTATGTTAATCGCTAAAACATAGTTTGCTGCATAACTCTTTTTGATCGAAAAAGATAAAAAAAGTTGTTCTGCTTTTGTGGAAATGTATCGTATCATGGCATTATATTTTGTGAAAAATAACAAAAGTTTATATGGTGGGTGAGGTTAACCTGAAATATTAATATTAATACAGCAAAAGTTGAATTATTGATATGTATTATCAGACTTTTATCAGATTTTTTTTGTTTCAAAACATTCAACAAATTTTGCCAGAATACTGATAATTTTGTTTTTAAAACTGATGATTTACAAGTTTACATTTTGTTTTAATAGATACCAACTGACTAGGCACACCATTACTTTAAACTGAGGGAAAAACAACAGCAGTCAGTGTTGAGTCATGTGACTATCATGTGACTATCAGGCATAAGACATGCAGTACACAATGAAACGTTGCTACAGGAACAAGTTTTGTAGTGCAAAAATTAACAAAAACAACAAAAACAGAAACAAATTTGCAGTTGAAAATAATCTTGCAGAAATTTCAAATTTCATTTAAAAAAAACATCCTCCCCAATAGAGAACAAATCAGAGGCACAAGTACTTGAAAAAAAACAATCCAAGAAAAAAAACATGCTCAAATGTGCAAAAAAAACAAATCAAAAATGTCACATGTTTTTGTAGCATATTACACCTACAACAAAATAGTATGCTCCATCTAACAATAAAGGAATGTTCCATTTCAAATTTATGGGAGGGGAAACTCACCTGCTTGTGCAATGATTATTTTTCTCATCTGCATCCTGTGGTTGAGTTCCTTGGCTTTTCGAACTCGATGTCCCCTCCAGTACGATTGGATGGTGATAGTAGACATGAGACGTTTGTACTTATACCGGGCGATGTATCCTCGATATATCCGCTGAATTGTAATAGCTGCCTTGTTGTTCCTTGACAGTTCCTCAGCATACCTTTTCATCGCTAACTGACGTCTAAATGCTAATTAATATGAATATAAATGTAGATTATCTTGAAGATTATCATAATCCTAGCAGAAAACAGCTTCAAAAAATTATAAATATATTACAATTAAAAAATTACTAAATTAAATACTAAAATTTTGTGAGAAAATTTATGAGTCTGGAAGAATCCAAAAACTTCATAGCAGTTAGTGATTTTCCTAAACAATAATTCTCCATGAACGTGCATCGATTTTGGAAAATTAATATCCAGGAATTATTTTTGACCTTGTACATTTCTAGAATATGCCTGGGAGAAATAAGATCATATTTTTTTCCAAAATCAGATAGATTAAATGAAAATAAGCAAAAAAATTGTTGTAGTAGTTGCGCTATGTTACCTTGGAGCTGACAAAGTCAGATAAAAATGATCAAAAATAAAAGTCCAATGAAAAAAAAAACAGACTAAATTTAATATTCAACATATAAACTTTGCTGGTACCTGCATATATTGTATTACATACACATCCATATATGGCAATATGCAAATACTGTAGTTAATATTTGCATATTGCAATAAATGGTGTTTGTTTTGTTATCATTTTAATCTTATCAATATACATAACAATACAAACTGATTATACATTCACAAATATGATTAAAGTTTATTTGCATAAAACAGTTAAATCTTCTCAAAGCCTATATTAGATTATCTTACCCTGTTGTATTTTATAAGCGGCCATCCATCTGCGTGCAGTGATTCGTCTATACCGTATTCTCGCCATCCAACCTTTTACACCTATTTAATAATATGGGGTCAAGGGTCAAACACATGCTGTCATGCAGTTATATGTGGTGAGATGTGGATTGTGGAACGTTTCATGCAAGAAGACCCACTGTTGCAAGTTAATGATGTAGATGGTGATATTAATTAACAGAATTAATTAATTTCAGTTATAAAATAACATCTCATGCCATGATATGCATCATGATTTTAAGAATTTTCATAAATTATTACTAAGTACAAATTATGCATAACACAAAGTGCTCATTAATATACATGTATCTGGATTTTCAAAGAGTTGAAGTTAATAAATAACTGAATTCACATTTTAATCACATTAAAGTTAGAGGGTCTTTGCAATATTGTAAGGTTTTATGTGGGCCCACTGTTAGAGCTTTCCAGTAATACCAAGTTAGGGTGACATAATGCTGTACTGTCAAGTTAGGAGGCCTTGCTGTAGTTGTTGGATAGTGGGCCCTAACGCTGTAGTATAAGGTTAAGGGGTCCTTGCTATAGTGTCAGGTTAGAGAGTCTTTGCTATAATGTCAGGTTAGAGAGTCCTTGCTATAATGTCAGGTTAGGGGGTCCTTGCTATAATGTCAGGTTAGAGAGTCCTTGCTATAATGTCAGGTTAGGG